CACTGGGTGAGGAATCTGGGGACCAACTGTCACAGCTCCGGTATCACCCGCCTCCTGGACGCCTGGGTCTGGCCCTGAGTCCCAGAAGGGCCCTGTCAGCCAGCTGTCCTGGGGGGCCCCCCGCTCCATCCCAGCCCCTCTGAGCTGCTCTCCCTGGGGAAACCAGACAGTGCAGGGGACCTGGTAGGGGGAGTGCTGGAGTGGTCCCAGGGGAGGAGCAGAGGTGTTTGTCTGTCCAGGCCCAAACCTCAGGGTGGGCCTTCAAAGCCCTTGGAGATGGAGTCCGCGAGGACCCATAGTGATCTCTCTCCTCCAACCTCTGCGGCCCTCTAAGTCCCAAAGACTGTTTTGCCCTCCCATTGAATCCTGTTTGGCTGTGTTCTTCGGGTCATGGAGGCTAGTTTCTGTGTCTTGCTGAGGGTAGAGATCAAGTCTGCTGTTTCCTTTGTGTGTCCTACAGAATTTTACCCAATACACTCTCATTGATTGAAATTAATGAGTTGAGTGTATTCCAGCAACAGAGAGAAAACTGGCCGCACTCTCAGCAGGAAGGATGATTTTTAGATGGCAAGGTGGACTTCCCTTAAGGGAGAGGTATTAAGAAAAGAAAATGGAGGGGCCGGCCCGGTGGCGCAGCGGTTAAGTTTGCACATTCTGCTTCTTGGTGGCCCGGGGTTTGCCGGTTCGGATCCCGGGTGTGAACATGGCACCACTTGGCAAAAAGCCATGCTAAGGTAGGTGTCCCACGGATAAAGTAGAGGAAGATGGGCACAGATGTTAGCTCAGGGCCAGTCTTCCTCAGCAAAAAGAGCAGGAGTGGCAGTAGTTAGCTCAGGGCTAATCTTCCTCAAGAAAAAAAAAAGAAAGAAAGAAAGAAAAGAAAAGAAAATGGAACCCCCCCGCACAGCACAAGAGAGGAGGCTCGGCTGACTAGGACAGATGGAGAAGGCATCCTGAGAGGAGTAGGAGATGGATGAGATAACCTCACCTCGTAAGGGCCAGCCAGCTTGGAAAGGCAGGCTTCGTGCGGCCTCCTGTGTCTCCCTCCCTCCCCCGGGACTCTGAGAATAGGACAGGGGAGGAGCAAGTGTTAAGTATGTGCCCCCATCCCTTGGTTTGTGGTGAACAGACAGTGATAATAGGTGCCCAGTCTTGCTCCAAGGAGAGAGGGGACACAGCTCGACACACAGACAAGCACCGTCGGGATCACCCCCCACTCCTGTCCTCTAGCCTCCACATGAACCCTGGGCCACCCCACTCTCGACTGGGTCACCTTTCCTGCCCTGCAGCCAGGCTTGTGTACACACACACACATGCACACACACAGATACACTTGCACATAGATACACACTGCACATGCAGCCAACTCAAAAACTCCACAGGGTCCTTTGTTCCTCAGGTCTGAGGCCAGGAGCCTGGCCGGTGTGTGTGTGTGTGTGTGTGTGTGTGTGTGTGTGTGTGTGTGAGACAGAGTTCACCTGCGTTCCAGTGCACAACAGGAATTATTTTTGGAATTATCTGCTGTTTGTTTGGGATGATCTCATTTCTGCAAGTCTAGGTCTAGAACTGACTTCAAGTGATTCATGGTGGGTCAGGATCTCCTCCAGTGCCTAACACATCCTAAGTGCTCAATAGGAGGTAGTTAGCTGAGTTAATTAATTAAAATTAATTAATGAAAACCACAGTCTAGCTAAAGTCAACGGCAAGGAGAGATCAGCCAGAGCTGGAAAACGAACATTGACTGACCACCTAAGAGGAGTCAGGCACTGGGCTAAGGACTGGGCTTATTATTTCCATTTGAGAGATGAGGAAACTGAGGCTCAGCAGGAAATGCTTGCAGAAGTAACCAGCAGCATGTTTGGCCCTGAGGCCTGCTCCTTCCTCTTACACCTTGAAGTTTCGAACATGCAGTTACACTCTGCACACCCTTCCTGAGCTTCTGCTTCGGGCAGGGGCATGTGCTGGACACTGGGAGCCCAGGGTGGGGGACAATGACAAAGATGAGAGACACAGTCTTGTCCTCCAAGGTCCCAAAGGGGAGAGATATGAGTTGCCACCTATACACCTTTCTGGTCATAAGGCAGAGAGTGATGGGGCGGGGGGCACAGCCATCTATTTCAAGGCAAAATTGTTTATGTACCGCCTTTGGCCCTCATCACCATAATTCTGGACTGGGCAGGCAGGGGAAGGGAAAGAAAGGAGGGTCCAGGGACAGAAACCTAGCTGGGCTGACACAAGTGTCAGTGGAGGCAGGGAGTCCCCTCCACAAAAGAGGCCACCAGCCTCTGGGAGCGAGGGAAGGACTCATCAAAGCCCGGTCCCGGGGCCGAGTGGTTGGGTTCGCATTCTCTGCTTCAGCAGCCCAGGGTTTCATTGGTTCAGATCCTAGGCCCAGACATGGCACCGCTCGTCAGGCCATGCTGAGGCGGCATCCCACATGGCACAACCAGAAGGACCACAACTACAATATACAACTGTGGACTGGGAGGCTCCAGAGAATAATAATAATTTTAAAAAAAGAAAGAAAGATTGGCAACAGATGTTAGCTCAGGTGCCAATCTTTAAAAAAACAATAAACAAAAACAAAATTAAAAAACTCCAGCCCTGAGAACCTGGCTCCTCAAGGTGCCCACCCTCGGGCTCCTCCGCTGCCCGGCACTCTGGTAGTCCCCGTGGCGGTGGACCCACCCCCCACAGTCTGCAGGCATACACTCCTGTGTGTCCAGCCACACCACAGACCTAAGTGCTCACACACATCCTGCCCTCCAGGTGCCAGGTTCCCGCTTGCCTCTGGGGCCTTGGAGATTTGTTTGGAGTCGCAGTGGGACACCGAGGGTGGACATGTGGTGCATTAACACACCCAGGGGGCTGATTTGTCCTTGTTGGATCAGGAAGGTGGGTCCAGCAGGAACCGCAGCCTCCCCTACCCCAGCCCTCAGTCTACCCCTTCCCATTCAGCAGCTGTCCCCCTCCCCGCTCACACACACTTGTTTCTGTCCTTTGTTTTCCTCCTTGGCCAAATCCCCAAGGCTTCTTTGGTCATTAACCTCCTGCTTTAATTAGCTTAGTGGGGAGGAAAGTGGAAGCAGGGCAAATTCAGGGGTGGGTGTCCAGGGGGAGTCTCATTTCGGTGGGGACAGGAAGGTTCAGACCAGCTGGTGACAAAAATGCCTGGCACACAATAAGTCCTGTGCAACTGTTTGCTATTTCTATTAACGTGAAAACCAATCTGCTGGTTCAGAGTAGGAACCTTACCCCGACGAGAGCCCCATGATCCCCAGTACCACAGTTCCCCTAGTCCAGGCTCCTGGGGCAGAAGGAGAGGGGACAAGAGCAGGGAACAGCCCACTCCACAGGGCCTTGTCTTTCCAATTCTTCCTCTCCCCGTCTTGCTCAGTGGCCGTAGCGCTCAATCCCACAATAAGGTTTGTTGCTAATCTTACGTTAAATCCCCGATCCAGGGGGCACCCCTCCCCAACTCCAGGGCCTTCTGGGGTTCCTCAGTCATGGTTCCCCTTCCCTGATCTGCTGCCTAGCAAAGGAGCTAGAGCCCCACAGTGTGCCAACCCCCAACCCCTCCGGAGATCCTCCATTCTAGCTCCCACCCTCCCATTGGTGTGCAAATTTATTCTTTCCAAGAATCAGTTTAGGGAACTGGACTTCACAGCTCAGCCCTCACAGCCTCACAGTGCCAGGTCTATGAGGTCATCTCATCGTTCCCCTGCCTTCAAGCAGGACTTTACCTCAGAAACCAGCTCAGATTTTCGGTTTCCAAGGCACTCCAGAAAAGGACATCTTACCACTGTAGCTCACCCACCCATTCTTATAAAACTCTTTTTGGGAAGTTCTTCTTAAAGTCTGATCTCAAGCCCTCAAGCTGCAGTGCCATCCTTTCTCCTCTTGGGAAAGACCGAAACATAAAAAGGGTCACAAAAAATAATTGCTGAAGATATGGGGAAAAAGGAGAAGAAAAGATTGCATTACATTCCAACTTCACCAAACTCCTTCTAAAAGTATCCAACTGTCCGATTCATGCCTTCAAAAGTTATTTTTACTTTCACCCATTTCCAGAGTCAAAGGAGCTGAATTAATGGATTTTCAATGGGGGAGAAGCGGGTGAGGCAAAGTGGAACGATGGTGGAGGTTAAAGAACAGATCGCTCCCGAGCTGTATGCATGGCCCAGGCCTGAAGGCAGTCTGGGTCCCAGTGGATCCCGTCTCTCCTCCCTCCTTCTGCCGCACCCAAAGCCCATGGCTCTCACCCGAAACTGTTAGGTCACGTCATGCCTTTAATACTTCCTCTGCCTCCTCACTCTCTGCCCCCCACTTCTCTCCTCTCCCTGCACCCCCTCATCCTGCTCACCTAACCACTCCCCAGCCCTCCCAGCTCCCCTCCACTGATCAGAAGGACGTGAACTAACTCACCTCCCAGTCGGTGCCTCTCAGATCTCCGAGACTGGGGGGCGGGAGGGGATGAGGGGGGATGGCTTGCCGCTTGAGGATGAGCGGACCCCGTCTTTTGCCAGGGGGTCCCACCCTCCAGCCCGGCACCCCATCCTGGCCCCCACAGCGCGCAGAACCGGGTTCTCCCCGCATCGCGGCTGTGGGCTTTGTCTGCTCTGCGGAGAACCTCTCCCCGCGGCCCCGAGCAGGGATCGACTCTGGAAGAGCGGGAGGGGGAGAGCGGAGAGGGAGCGCGCCAAGGAGGGGGAAGAGGGTAGAGACAGAGAAAGCCGCAGTGACCCAGCCGGGACTGCTCCCCGCCCTCTCGCCCCCCCTCCCTCATTATCATAAGAAAGAGGGACCCAAGACTGGCCCGGATCTGGAGGGAGCCCGTTTTGGGAGGGAGGCGCGCTCCATTACCCTTTTTTCAAACCCTTCCATTTCTGTACACTGACTCCTCTCCCGTACCCGCCCCTTGGAAAAATTAGGGACCTCGACTTCCATCCCACCCCCAGCTTTGCCTCCGAGCCGTGGTTAAAGACCGAAGGCACATCCCTATCCTCCTCGGGTCAAGGAATTCGTCCCCGCGCCCCCGAGGGCGGGAAACTACAACTCCCGGCATGCCCCGGGCGCCCCCGGCGCGCCCCCCTCCCGTCAGTTCCATGCTGCTCCATCCAGTTCATTTAAAACAAAAGAGTTTGAGCGCTGGAAGGGGCTGGGCTCTATTGGGGGCCACTGAGCGCCGCTCCTGGACTGGGGCTCGGTGCGGGAGCCTAAGGGGGGCGTCTGGACGGCGGGGTCTAGAGACTCCCGGGTGCGAGGCGGGAGGGGTGGGGGCAGAGATCCCGCAGCCCCCCGCCCCCCGTCACCCCGGGAGAGGAGAGGAGAGGAGATCTGCCTTCTTGGTTTTGCTTCTCTTTCCCCCCACCCCCACCCCGGGGGCTGGGGCGAGGGGAGTCGGGTTACAGGGTGTTTGGGGAGGGGGGCTTAGGAGGAGGGTCTATCTTTCTATCTCGCTTTCTTCCCCCCTCCCCAGTTCTTTGTTCCCCCTCCCCACACCCCCCCCTCCTCTCCCCTCCCCTCCCCTCCTCTCTCCTCTTTTCCCTTCCACCACCTCTCTCTCTCTCCCTCTCTCTCTCTCCCCCAGCTTTTGTTTCGCCATGCCTAGTCTAGTGGTATCTGGAATAATGGAAAGAAATGGGGGCTTTGGAGAACTAGGATGTTTCGGGGGAAGCGCTAAGGACCGAGGGCTGCTGGAAGACGAGCGCGCCCTTCAGCTGGCTCTCGATCAACTCTGCCTCCTGGGTTTGGGGGAGCCCCCCGCCCCCACGGCGGGCGAGGACGGGGGAGGTGGGGGGGGCGGCGCCCCCGCGCAGCCGGCCGCCCCCCCGCAGCCGGCCCCGCCGCCGCCGCCCGCGGCGCCCCCGGCCGCCCCGACGGCGGCCCCCGCGGCGCAGACGCCCCAGCCCCCCACCGCCCCCAAAGGGGCCAGCGACGCCAAGCTCTGCGCTCTCTACAAAGAGGCCGAGCTGCGCCTGAAGGGCAGCAGCAACACCACCGAGTGTGTACCCGTGCCCACCTCCGAGCACGTGGCCGAGATCGTGGGCAGGCAAGGTAAGCGGGCGCCTGGACCGCGGAGAAGGACTGAAGTGGGGGGCACCCCATCCCTAGCACGGAAAGTTCATTTCCTCTCTCCATGCCCGCCGCTGGCTCCGTCCCTTCCCCACAAAGGGGGACCCGCCCCCTACCCTGATTTCCAAGTGCCACAAAGTTCCCTGCTACCCCCAAGTCGGGACTGTTCTCCGGATCCTTCCTCCCCCAGGGCTCTGCCCTTAGACAAAGAAATATCCTCTCATAGAGAGAGGGAAAAGGGAGGGAGACTCGGTCTCCTAATCCAGGGAGGCTGTCCGGAGGGGGCGTCCACTCCTAGCCAGAAAAACTGGCGGAATGTGCAAAGAGTTACTCAGAAGCCCCTATTCTGGTATCCGATAGTGGGTTGGGGAGGGGGCACCCCTGGGACCCCCAGCCGCCTGAAGTTACAGACTTTGGGGGAGACTTGGCCCGGGAAGCTCGGCTATCTGTCTCTTTGTTGGGCTAAGTGTAGGAATGGAAGGGGGTGTGGCTCATGGGAGGGTCCCAGCCTGGGGGAGAGGTGGGGAGGGGGCTGCCGGGAGGAGGGAGTCCTGTGGTCACCCACACACCAAAGTTGAACGGTCTATGGGGTTTTGGAAGGGGTGCCTCCAACGAAGTGCCACGTCCTGGCGTGGACCTCTCCTCCTCCCTCTCAGGCTTTTGTTCTGGGCTGGCCACGGCCAGGGGCCAGAGGCCTGGAAAGGGGTCTCTGGTCGTGAGAGAGTAGGACAGCGTGCGAGGGGGCATGCTGGGGGGGTAAGAAACCTTTACCTGGAGATTTGGTGGAGGGTGTGTGTCTGGGTGTGTTGTTGGGGGACAGGGGGTGTAGAATTAATCCAGTGTAGTATGTCTGATACCACACCCTCCTCTGCTCCAGCATCCCTGGGTGGGTGGGGGTGGGAGTGTTGGTGAGGGTCCAGACTAAGCAGACGGTATCTTGGGGACCCTTCCTTCTCCCAGTTTCCCAAAGGGGAGTGTGGGGGGGTGGGGAGTGGGATTTGGCAATTGCAAGGGGGCTGGGCTGGGGAGGTGTGGGGTGGGGGAGGAGCCGGGGAGGAGCTGTCCCACCGTGGGGAACAATAGAGGAGCTGCATTCCGGCTGGGAGTGAGGGAGGAGGCGGGCTGCTGGCAGGGGAGAGGGGAGGCAAGCCAGGGGGGCCCTTACTCCACATCCCACCTCTTCCACCCGGAGTGCTGGGGGCTGGGGGACTGTGCAGGGAGATCCAGAATGGAGGAGGGGAAGATGCCACTCCCCTGCCCAGCCCTCATCCCCCTGGGGCACTCCATCTCTTGAGATTTCTGGTTTAAAAAGTTGGATTTCCTCTTGTTGCCAGAAACTAGGGACCCAGAGCCCTGGAATTGGGTGGTGACACTTGTATCTTTTCTTGGATGTGGGGGTGATCTTGGGAGGCCCCAGAATTTCATGGAGTCATTCTTTCCTCTTCTGCCTCCGCATCAGATGGGCCTGTCTCTCATAAAAGTAGGGGGATTTCTCCTATTCAGAGAAGATAAACCTCCTCCTCATTCCTTAAGTATATGGAAGTACTCCCTCTTGTCTAACCTCCCTCCTCCTGCTGCAGTGTCAGTGCTCCTCTATTTGACCTCTAAGAAGATGAAGCCCAGTGGGTCTTCCCTTCAAAAGATACTTCTTCAGGGTTTTGAAAGCCAGCCTGAGGTGTACCATCAGTTCTGCACCTCCAGGCCTCTAGCTTTTTTCCTTCCTCTTATGCCCGGGCTTGTCCTCCCCACCCCAACCCCCAAAGATACCTAGCTCTCACTTAAATTTATGGACCCCAAACTTAGAGCCAGAACCCAGGTGCCTATCAGACGCCATGTGAGCAGAAGTTGTAGGAGAGAGGACTTCACTGTTCTTCAGCCCTCCATGCCTCACAAATAGAACAGTCTTTTACTGACATTAAAGCAGCAGGGATGTGGGCCTGACAACAGGTAGGACTTCTCAACTGCCAAGAGGTCTGAAGACAAAAAAGGGAGGAGCGAATTCTCCTTCCTGAGGTCTCTTGAAGGTGAGGAGAGCTGCCCCCAACCCACTCTCTCCTCCCACCTGCAAATCTGGTGGAGTTGGAGAAGAAGCCATCTGGAGTGGAGGAAGGAGAGAAAAAAATGAGCTCACCTCAGGCCTGTGGTTGGAGGGTTGGGGCAGAGTCAGAAAACTAGGACTGCTGGTGTTGGTTTTTGAGGGGATAGGTAGTGTGGTGGGGGAGTGAGAAAGGGAATGATGATAGGGTACCTGGAGAGGGTGTGAACATGTCTATATGTGAATGGGGGCAAAAGTTGTGGGCGTGTATAGGAATGTACTATTTGTGTGCTGGGGATGATGGGGAGGGAAGAATGGGATTATGAAGGGTTGAAACGCAGGGAATCTGTGCTCGCGCGTGCGTGTGCGTGTGTGTGTGTGAAAGTGTACATTAGGCTTGCACCACAAGTATTGTTTAGGTAAAGGCACACAGTGCATCACAGCTCCTAGGTTCGTGTGTGTGCAAACTGACATACATGTGGCATGTGTGCTTTGAGAAAGCGTGAGTCTCTGAGGCTCTGTGAAGCTCAGGGCAGGGAGAGGGAACGTGGGAAAAGAGGACAGAGTCTTGTCCAGTCAGCCATCCAGGTCTGCCACCCTTAGAGATGGTTTGGTCATCCCAGCCTCCCTCACTCTTCTCTTTCCCCTTCTCTCTCTTTGTCTCTCTTTGTCTCAGCTTTCTTCTTTCTCTTCCTGCCTCTCTCCCCAACCTCCCAGCTTTAACCCACTCCTTCTTCAAAGCAGGAGTGTAGGTCCAGAATACCTTCTCCCTCACCCTACTCAGCCCCAAGCCCATCTCAGCTCTCCTGCCCCCAGGGAACAGGGTGGCAGGAGTGTCCATAAGGTCGGGTGCTGTCCCTCACACATCATTATTTTTCCTTTCATACTCCTGCTTTCCCTCTTGAAGCTCTGATTCTCAGACCCCTGCTAGTCTCCCACCTCCACTAGTTGCTGCAAACTTGCCATGAATTTGGGAGACACTAATGGGCAGAAGGCATGGAGGGGGGAATCATCCAGCAGATGGGGGTCAGGGGTCCCTGAGTAGATTGGAGAACACTTTTAATGAATGGAGTTCAAGTGAGGAGTGGATTGTGGGGTTACTGAGTGCATTGGAGTTCTGTGGAAAGATCAAGGTCAGTGACAGACTGGTAGGGGTGATTAAGTGATTTGGAAGTTTGTGAGTAGCCAAGAATCCATAGAGAAGTTGAATGAACAGCACGTGGTTGGGGAAGAGTTAGTGAGTAGATCTGAGGTTAGCAGCTGGCCCAGGAGGGTCAGTGATTATTTAGGGGTTTCGAGGAGTGAATGAACTTGGAGGGTCCTGAATGGAATTCGAGGGAACCTTGGTACGTTTTGAAATCTGTGGTTGATAGAGACATTGAGTAGATCTGAGATACATGAGTGGGTTGTTGAAGTCAGGGTGTATTGGGGGGCAGGGTTCAAAGAGTAGACTGAGGGGTTCCTGGGAGGCTGGGTATCTGAGTAAAGATCAGGAGCTTATTGGTCTCGGCTCAAACCTTCCTATCCTGTGAGTTTCTTTTTCTCTCCCCTTCCCCACCCTATCCCAGGCTGCAAGATTAAGGCTCTGAGGGCCAAGACCAACACCTACATCAAGACGCCTGTGCGGGGTGAGGAGCCAGTGTTCATGGTGACTGGGCGGCGAGAGGACGTGGCCACAGCCCGACGGGAAATCATCTCGGCAGCCGAGCACTTCTCCATGATCCGCGCCTCCCGCAACAAGTCGGGCGCCGCCTTCGGCGTGGCGCCTGCTCTGCCAGGCCAAGTGACCATTCGTGTGCGAGTGCCCTACCGCGTAGTGGGGCTGGTGGTGGGCCCCAAGGGGGCAACCATCAAGCGCATCCAGCAGCAGACCAACACGTACATTATCACGCCGAGCCGTGACCGCGACCCCGTGTTCGAGATCACGGGTGCCCCGGGCAACGTGGAGCGTGCGCGCGAGGAGATCGAGACGCACATCGCCGTGCGCACGGGCAAGATCCTCGAGTACAACAATGAAAACGACTTCCTGGCGGGGAGCCCCGACGCCGCGCTTGATAGCCGCTACTCGGAGGCCTGGCGAGTGCATCCGCCGGGCTGCAAGCCCCTCTCCACCTTCCGGCAGAACAGCCTGGGCTGCATTGGCGAGTGCGGAGTGGACTCTGGCTTTGAGGCCCCGCGCCTGGGCGAGCAGGGCGGGGACTTTGGTTATGGCGGGTACCTGTTTCCGGGCTATGGCGTGGGCAAGCAGGACGTTTACTACGGTGTGGCTGAGACTAGCCCCCCGCTCTGGGCGGGCCAGGAGAACGCCACGCCCACCTCGGTGCTCTTCTCCTCCGCCTCCTCCTCTTCCTCTTCCGCCAAGGCCCGCGCCGGGCCGCCAGGAGCGCATCGCTCCCCTGCCACCTCAGCAGGGCCCGAACTGGCAGGACTCCCGAGACGCCCGCCGGGAGAGCCCCTCCAGGGCTTCTCTAAACTTGGCGGGGGTGGCCTGCGGAGCCCAGGCGGCGGGCGGGATTGCATGGTGTGCTTCGAGAGTGAGGTGACTGCCGCCCTCGTGCCCTGTGGACACAACCTGTTCTGCATGGAGTGTGCAGTACGCATCTGCGAGAGGACGGACCCGGAGTGTCCCGTCTGCCACATCACAGCCACGCAAGCCATCCGAATATTCTCCTAAGCCCCCTGCCCCATGCCTCCTGGGGCCACTCCCCAGGGTCCCGCCCTGGAGCTGTTTTCCACTAGGGCCTTTTGGAAATCAGTGATTTGAGGGGCAAGGTGCTTAGAGATACTCGCTCGCTGGGGAGGGGGAGGGGAGGCGATGGTGGCCGGAGGGTGGGCCACTTTCAGAGCCTCTGGTCACCCTGTCCTGGAAAGTTTGGGAGGGGGCCAGACTGGAAATTTTCCTAGAGTTACAACTCTGATACCTCAACACACCCTTCAATCTGGAAGCAGCTAAAAGAAACTTTTGTTTTGCCAGAGGTGGCCTCCAAGGCATCCTGACCCCCCTGTCCCTCTCCCCATCTGTGCATCACACCACCTCTTCCTCTGCGAAGGAGATGGGGAAAGGGAGAGGGGGAGTTACCATCTGTATCTAGAGGCACTCTTTCCACTCCCCAAGCCCTCTGGTCCTGACCTCTGACCTCCTAACATGTACCTTTAGACCCCTCCACCACCATATCCTGTTTGGGAATCTGTTCCTGGGTTTCTAACGGTATAAGGGGGTTGGGGCCCTTTCAAAAGTCTGCATAGATTTTCTTGGGGGAAGGGGAGAAGCATGTCAATCGAGAAAAGGCTCAGAACTCATCTGTCCCTACAAAGCTGGGCTAGGGGAATCTGGATGGGGTGCCCCTGTCTGCCCCTCCAGCTTTCCCTTTGCTCCCTCCCCCATCTTTCCTCCCTTGGTTTCTCCTTTCTCCTTTGCTCTTTCCCCAGCTCTTCTCTTTGCTTCCCCTTGGTGCTGTCATTCCCAGCCCTGTCTTGCTCTTTCTGTTTCTTCCTTTCTCCCCCCTTCTTCCTGCCCCTTCCAGCCCAGCTTTGGGGACACCATCCTCCTGGGGAGAAGTAGGGGGAAGAACATTTTGGTAGTCCCCCCTAATTCCTCTTTTGGCATCTGGAGGCCCTCTCCCCCACTCCTCCAAAGAAACACCTCAAATTCTTGATGGAATGTATCCCCATTCTCAGAAAATTTGAGGAGGGGACTAATACTGGGGTACATAAAGGGTCAAACCTCCACCTTTATCATCTTTGGGCATTACATGTGGGGAGCAGTTCTTGGGCTGGATTTTCTGGCGGTAGGAGGGGAGAGCCGAGGTAGTGTGTTTGCTGTTTCAAGGAGCAGGAAAGGGTCTGAGGCAGGAGGAGAGGCTGCTGGTGGCAAGGGCTGCTCCTCCTCCTCTGCAGAACCCCGCCCCCTGTGCCCCTCACTGGATCTGACCCGAACCCTTATTAGCGAGCAAATCATGAAGTCTCTGTCCTATTCATTGTGGTTAAGGAGAGAGACCAAGTCTTTAGAGAGGGGTCAGTCCAGGGCCAAGCAGGACTGGGGTGCGGCAGGGCCTGTTCCAAGAATCAAGTATTGTACGGGCCTTGCAACCCCTTTGCTGCTTCCCTGCTGCTCACTCGAGGCTGCCACCAGCCTCCCACCCTCCTGGTTCCGCTGGCCGGGCCAGGAGAGCATGGGGGATGGGAGTCCCTGGGTGTCCCAGGAGATTCTTGTATATAGTGGAGTGGGACTGCTCTAAGTGATCTCTGAGCACTTAAGCTCGAGAGTCCCATTCTTCCTGGATGGAGAGGGGGTGCAGGGATGGGGGTACAGAGGGGATTTCCTCCTCTCCTTCCTCCTGTTGTGAATTAACTCACCTCTCCTCAGCCTTCCCCTCCAGACCACCAGCCAGGGAGGGGAGAGGAAGGAGGTCACAGCCAGGAAAGCTGGTCTGTGACAACTTCCCTCCTTCCCGCCAATGTGAGCCATCCTGAGATGTCTGTACAATAGAAACCAAACCAAATGGGCACCCTCGGTCGCCGAGGGGGGGTGGGGAGGGGGGTGGGAAGATGGGATGTCTGTCTGTCGATCCCCCTCCCCCTCTCCACTCCTTATCACAAAGGCAGAAGACTGTTATGCTAGGGGGCTCGGAAAATTCAATCCCACCCTTACTGATTGAGCCAAACCTAGAAACAAACGCAAAACACACATTGTGAGAGACAAAATAGAGGAGAGAAAGAGCGCGAGAGGGAGCGAGAGAGGCGACCAACACAGAGGAGAGAAAACAAAAATAGCAAAAAAAAAAAAAGCAGTTCTTTATAATTTAATATTCTATTTTAATAAAGGCGTTTATTACCGTATAAATGTAGCAAAGAACCTGGGCTAATATGAAAAAAAAAAGACTTTTTATTAGGTAATTTATTATATGAAAAGGATATTTTATTTTATGATAAAGTGATCCTTAAAAAAAATAAAAAAACTTTAGAAGGTTTAGAATATATGTAGGGAGAGAAGAAGAAAAAAATACATTTGTATTCAGAGTTAAATCTTAAAAAAAGTGTTTTTAATATATGTTCGGGTTTACGTTCCTTTTTTCCCCCACTTTTTTTTGGGGAGGAATGTCATTTGCTTTTCGGAGGGGAGCATCCTGGGATGGATGGTGGAGACCGGCTAGGGGAACCTGGTCCCTCTGGGGCCCTGCAAGTAGATCGGATTTCACTCCGTGGGCACCCCCTCCCCTCTCCCCCTCCCCCTCGGGGGAGCCGGCAGAGCCAAACAAAGAAAGGGATTAACGAGAAAGGAAGAAGCAGTAGGATTGAGTACTGAGGATCCTGGGGTGCCCCTCCTTCCTCTGCCCTGTCCCAGGGGCAGGCCTACGGGAACCCTCAGAGAGATGTGAGATTTAAGAGAAATAGTTTTGTTTGTTTTTTTTAACCAAAAATGAGAGAGAGAGAAGAAAAAGAAAGAAACCGAGGGGTTTAAAAGAAAAGAATACTACAAAATAATAATTATTAATAATAATAATAATAATTCAAATTTATTTCATATAATCCTAGAGAAAAAGAGAAAGAATTACTAGTTACTTAGTAGACGATATTCAGATAGCTTAAAGTTTAGTAGCATTGAGGGCCTCTGGGTCCAGTAGAATGTACAAAAGTCGTACCGAAAAGGAAACTAAAGGAGGGAAGTGGCTGAGTCCACCCTGAGTCACCCCATCTTCAAATACCAGGGTGGGAGCAGGTTGCTAGTTAAGGTTGGGAGCTTCCGGTCTGCTGGGGTTGATTCTGAGAATCCTTGAATTTTTAAATTGTAGGACAAATAGATGAGGGGCTGAGTTCCCAGGGTGTTTGAAAGGATGGACATTGATCATTTCTACCAGGTGGAGGCTGGGCTCTGGACAGCAGAAGAGGGTGAGCACGGTTGCCTGCACCCCAGGACCTGGGGGCCTGGCCATCCTGTCCATCCCTCTGTCTCTGTTGGGCAGCCCTTATGCACTCCAAAGTGATATGTCCTCTCTTGGGGCTCTCTGGGAGGATGGAGATCACCCAGCTCCAACCCTCCTGAGCCAACTTCTTCCAGGCCTAACTGAGGAAGTCCTTTTTGAAGTGTGTCCTCAATCCACTTCACTACAGATTGATTCAAGAGCCTGGTAGGTCATTCCACAAACACACACACATGCACACACTTCGCACCTTCTCAGAGCTTCAATGGGACTGAGGGGGTCTGTCCCCCAACCCTGTTCCCACCCAATATTCCACTTAGCGTTTGGCCTCCATGGTAGCAGTGGGAATAACAATAATCTTTCTCCTTTAAAGCTGCACAGTGCTTTACAGGTTTGCAAAGTGCTTTATTGTCTCATAGAAGTTTGCTTCCAAGAAGGACTTCCCATCCACTGGGGGGGGAGTAAAGACACTCCTTGAAGGCCTAGGAGAATGGGGCCCCCAGGGGTACAAAGGCAGGGGGTGGCAGCAGGGACTTTGGGTGACCCCGACCCTGACCCTCTGCCCCGGTCCACCTCCATCTGTGAGTGTGCAGGTAGGGGTCATCTAGTGTGTCCTGGCCTGGGGCACATCACCCTCCCCACAGGAAATTGGGGAGCTTGGCTTTTGCGTGTGAGAAATCAACTAATTTTTTAAGCACTTGCCTTCTACCAACCCCAACTTGCAATCAGGTTGGGTCCCTCCCCCTATCCAAGGGGGTATGGATGCCCCTTGGCTCTCTTTTCAACAAGAGGAGCCTGCTCTGTGACACCAATGACTCTGTCATGCCCCTCCCTGGCCCTAGACCCCAAACACATCTCCCTCTCCCCAATTTACTCTTCTCGCCCCACCTAGGGACAGATTCCCCCTGCTCTTTTTGTCCTAGAAACCCCGCTAGTTTGGGAAGGTAGCGTCTGGGGTGGGGAGGGCTTCCCCTTCCCCACTCGAGGGTGCGGGTGGGGTAGGGTGGGTGGGGGGAGACAGCCCTGGGGCAGGAGGGATGGTCTCTCCACTGTAGAAAGTAGAGTAGGATTGTGGTCAGACTTAATTTGAGGCATCTAGTGAAGACACTTACAAATGCACCAACAAAAATATTTCAAAAGCAGAATAAAGGCGGGAAACAAACCAGACCCATGAATAATCAAGTCAAAGTGATGTTGCACAAAATGCAGAGAAACCAAGAAGGGGGAGGGTTAATGTATTAAATGTGCTATTAAGAACTTAATTTTATTAAAAGTATTATTACTTAAGGCTCTGGCTTCTTTCTCTGCATGTAGGTCTGAACCACCTTGGGGTGAGTGGGAGAGGCCGCTGTGGGGACTGTAGCTGGGGGTTTTCTCTAGTGTCCTGATGTCCCTGCTCACCTTGCCAGAAGTGGATGGCTCCTGTGCACTTTGACAGCTCCCTCCTGGAGTCTCCAAGCGCTCAATCCCCCCTCTTTTCTCCCCATTTACTGCTATCTATTCCTTGGGGTGTAGTCGGACCTCCTTTCACCCTGCCCTGCAGAACAGGAGAAGGCGAGGCAGGGTGACGAGATTTGTCTGGACAGCCAGCTCCTGGGCTCGATGGAGAAGGGGCAGAGAGCTGGGAGACAGACCCTCCCCACTCATCCCCACCAGATTCAGTCCGTCCCTACACCACACCCACTCTTTTTTTGGATCAGGCAGAAAACTGAATGGAAGACTTGGACCTTCCGCCGCCCAGGCTTTAAACCCGTTCCCCAGCACACACAGACAGGGCTGGCCCTGACTCCCCCTTCTCTCTAATATCTCCCCCTGCCTCCTCCCCTCACCCCTGGCATTGGAGTGACCTCAGTTCTTGGCACCATGGCCTTGGGCACCAGATGGTGCCCGCCGATGGTTTCCTTTGTCTCGCCTTCCAGATACCCCCTCTCCGCCATGCTGTCCTCCCTCCCCCACCTGCCCTGGGGGTTGGCAGAGGGAAGGGCGGGCACCCCCCGCCCCCTTGGCACCGTCCCCAGACCAGAAGACACCAGAGGCAGCTGGCCCTGGGGGGCAGTGGGTATGGTGGGGGGGATGGAGGGAGGGGGAGGGGAAGGGGAATAGGGACTCAGAGGAGGGGCCAGAGTTAAGGAAGAGGCACAGATGGGAGGCAGAATGATGGCCAGGCATTGATACAAAACACAGCTTTATTTGAGGGCCCTAGTCTGTAAGGTGGTGGACAGATAATAGAGATATGGGGGGTGGAGCATGAAGCCCTTAGAGCTCTGGGGAGCTGTGAACAGGGGGCTTGCCACCCTGACATCTGGAACCACAGGGCAGGGAAAGGTCCTGCCTCTGGCGTGGGGTTGGGGGGCACCAGAAAGCCAGTGGGCAGGGTTGGTGCTAGACAAGGTCAGAGGCTGATGCAACAGGCCCTCTTCTCGCCAGGGCCCGGCTCCTGCCCAGCCTGGGCACTGCCTAGGGTGATGGCATTGGTCCGGGTGCTGTTCTGCCTCTGCTTGGACACCTTTGCAAAGATCTCTGAGAGGGCAGAGGGCAGAGGGCAGTGATCAGGTCAGAAGATTTAGAGCCCATGCTCCCCACACACACACTGCATGCCCCTGTCTTAGTCCTGGGGGTGGCTGCACTTAGAGGAAGAAGGAGGTTTTGCTGGAAGGAAGCTGAGTTTGGGCACCCAGGTTCCTTCTACTTACCTGAGTGGAGAAGGACTAACACTCAGCTCCCCGGGAAGTGTGGCCTTCTGCTTCCTTCCCTAAGCTCCGGGCTGAGTAGGGGGCGCTAGGAGGGTCTGAGCCGATGCTGGGACGCTCTGAGGAGGCTGGGGGCCCACAAAGGGGCTGAGGAATCAACTAGGGTGAGGGCTGGGTGTCTGCCTTCCTACCGCTGCCCAGGGATGGAATAGGGGTGCCAAACTGAGGCAGGGGCTCTGACCTTTGAGGACCGTCTCAAAGGCCAGCTCAACATTGGTGGAGTCCAGGGCTGAGGTCTCCAGGAATAGCAGCCCATTGTTTTCTGACAGAAAAGGAAACACACCATTAATGGTAGGGGTCAAAGGCAATAATAATAATAACATTTACTTGATGTTTACTGTGTATGTTTGCTATGTGCTAAACCCTGGGCATGTGTAGCTCATTTATTCCTTAAAACAACCATGAGGTAGGTTTGAATATTATCCCTTTTTTATACAAGAGGAAACGGAAGCCCCGAAACACAGAGACAACGACTAAAGAACTTGCTCAGTGTCCCATGTCTAGTAACTGGCCAAAGAGATGTGAGGCTGGGCTGTGGGACCCCGGAGCCTGCACCCTTAACTACTACATCTTGCTGCCTCTAAACCCCAGAAAACTCCCGGGGAAAATGTGAACAGAGATGGTCAAGGGGAGCTTCCCTGCTTGCAGGGGTGGGGCCGTCTTAAAAGCAGCTATAAATAATTGCCCCTAAAGACAGTCTCAGGGCGAGTGGTGGGACATAACGAGGGACACAGGGTCACAGAAGGGAAGGGCTGGAGATCCTGAGGAAGAGGGGATGGGGGTAGGGGACCCTATGGAGGAAGTCCAGGTTGGGGCCCCAGGGTGGGAGCAGGGCTAGGGGGCAGGCACTGGGATTTCATGGGCCGGGTTGGAGGGTCAGACTAGATCGTGGCGGGCTCTCACCAGCAAACATGCGGGCTTCTTCAGTGGGCACCTCCCGGGCCTGGCTGAGGTCACTCTTGTTGCCCACCAGCATGACGACGATAGTGGCCTCGGCATGGTCGTAGAGTTCCTTCAGCCAGCGCTCCACCACAGCATAGGTCTGGTGCTTGGTTAGGTCAAATACCAGTAGGGCCCCCACTGCACCACGATAGTACCTGGGGAGGGGGGCCAGGGCATGGGTAGAGGGTTGGACAGAGGGGAGGTCAGGGAGGACAGGCTGAGCCTCAGAGCAAAGCCTCAAGCCAAAAAGCCAGAGATGAGTACCAGCAATGGGGAAATAGGAATACTGAGGTCCAGGGATCCAAACCCAGACAGGGCAGCCCTCGGCTCCCATGCCTCATGCTGAGAGCCCTCCAGGCATTCTGGTCCTGGCTCCCCTCTTCCTCCATAGCCCATCTGCCTCCTCAGGTCCTTTGTTCTGATTTTAGCCCCTGCTATCCACCAGTGCATCTGAGGGCTGCGGTCAAATCTGCTTCCTGGATGCCCCACCTTCAAGATCTTCCTCACATGGCTCCTTGACCCACAGTGCCCTCTTCTCCCTGTGGCCATCTTTCTGGAACTAGCTAAATGCCTACCCCGTGCAGCAATCCCTGACTTGACCATCCAAGGCATCCTTGCAAGCATCCAGCTTCACTCCTGGAGTTAGATGGGGCTTCTTTGGACTGGTGACATCTAATTACTCCCATTTTACTGATGAGCCCACTGAGGCTCGCAAGAGGTCAGGTGACCTGTCCAAGAGTGATGAGCATGTCGTGCTGGTGGGTAACTAAGCTCCTGACTCCTGCTTCCTGCCCCCTAGCAGGTGCTGTCCCCCACCACACACACACACACCACCTTTCTCACATTTGGCCTGATACTGACTGGGAGGCCTCTGCACATGATGTCAGGAGGCCTAATTTTCTCTGCATCCTCTGAGTCTTTGTAAAACTCAGCTGAGGGGCCGGCTCGGTGGCGCAGCAGTTAAGTGGGCACGTTCCACTTCAGTGGCCCAGGGTTCGTCGGTTCGGATCCCAGGTGCGGACATGGCACTGCTTGGCAAGCCTTGCTGTGGCAGGCATCCCACATATAAAGTAGAGGAAGATGGGCATTGATGTTAGCTCAGGGCCAGTCTTCCTCAGCAAAAAGAGGAGGATTGGCAGCAGGTGATAGCTCAGGGGTGATCTTCCTCAAATGAATAAATAAATTAATTAATTTAAGAAAAAATACGCAGCTGAGGGGGCCTGCCCTTCCCTTCTGTGGTTAGATGTCAAAGCACTGTGCAGAAGTGAGGGGCACACTAGATCCGGGAGCCTGCCCTTATCCCAGCTCCACCCTAGTTTCACCTGCTTGAACCCCAACCTTCTTGTATTTAAACTGGATTAACGGTAGCACCTTACTCCTGTGGTATTTTGAGGATTACATAAAATGCCCAGTGTAAAGTGCCTTGTACCTCCCTGGGCACAGAGCAAAGACTTTATTTATTTATTTATTTATTTAGTGAGGAAGATTGTCCCTGAGCTAACATCTGTGCCAATCTTCCTCTATTTTGTATGTGGGATGCTGCCACAGCATGGCTTGATGACTGGTGTGTAGGTCCTCACCCAGGATCCGAATCCACGAACCCTGGGCTGCCAAAGCACAGTGTGCAAACTTAACAACTACATAACCAAGCCGGCCCCAACAAAGACTTCTAAGTGGTGGCAATGACTCTTGTTTTTAGTCCCAGTAGTCAGCATCACTATATCCTGTCTAGACTCTTTGTGGCTCACAATACTTGTGTCTCCTCAACCAGCCATGGTGTCCTGTGATCCCATTTAGGGAGCATACTGCTAAGTGCCCTTGCCTCTTTCTCTTCCTCTACCTCTCCTCCAGAGGTGCATCCTGACTTCCCAAGCACCCCCAGCCCTCTGCAGCCCCCCAGCCCCAGGCTCACGCCGAGGTGATGGCTCGATATCGCTCCAGGCCAGCCGTGTCCCAGATCTGAGCCTTGACAGCAGCGGTGCCCAGCATGACAGTGCGGGTGGAGAACTCAACCCCGATGGTGGTACGGCTGTCGTGGCTGAACTCATTGCGCGTGAATCGGGATAGCAGATTGGTCTTCCCCACTCCTGACTCGCCGATCAGCACCACTGAAGGAGTGGAGAGATAAGGGCTGAGCTTGGACCAGAGCGGCCCCAAGCCTGCCTGAGCGTGGAGGGTCTGTTGGTCAGAAAAGGGGAGCTAAGCTCAGAAAACTGAGGAGGGAGCCAGGTCTCCTGGCAGAGAATGGGGTCTGCAACCCTGCTTGATGCATCCATAAGTTTGAAATGGGCTAAGGGACTCTTTAAGTGTTCTGGGCCTGGTCTGTTGGGACAGGCTGCAGACAGTCAGCCTGGGTTTCCAGTGATAGAGTGATGTCTGTGGGCAGTTTGTGGATGTCACTGTTCAGGGGTTGTGTGGAGTGGTTAGCAGAGTGTGTGAATGTGGACAGGGATGATGGAAGGCCTGGCGGGGAGGATGCATATTTCTGGACTAGGGAGAATGTATGAGAACATTGAGCATGTTTCTATGTATATGAGGTGGGAGGACAAGAGGGAGGTTTGGTGTGAGTGTTTGCATGGGAGCAGAGATGTGAACAGGTGTGGGTGAGAAGAAAGCTGGCAGGTGACATGTCTATGGGTGGGGGCAAGGTATGGAGATATGCGTATAAGAAGTTAGGATCCAGTTGTCCCATAAAGGAGGGGCAGTCTTGCATGATTAAGACCATGGGGCTGGGTGTTGGACCAGCCATGTGTCCTTCAGCAAGTTATTTAACCTCTCTGACTTTCTTCTGCATATGAAAAATGGTAATAACGATAGTGACTATCTTATGGGTCATTGTAAGAAGTAAATGAGATATTGCCCAGGATATAGTGAGTGTGCAAAACTGTTACTGTTATGACTGCTGTTACTGGGCCAGTGATTTTACCTCCAGGTTTCCAGGGACAAGGATCCATCAGAGGGGCTATGAGGAGCCTTTGGGCTGGTGGGCAGTGTCCACCATGGGTGAGCTGGGGGCTGGGGTACAGTGTCCAGGGCTAATGTAAGTATGACCCACAAATTGCACTGACACTGAGCTGAGCATCCAGGATTAGAGGCCACCCAGAGTGGTTCTGGAGAAGCGGGCTGGCGCCCTGGGAGCCACATACTCTGGGGTCTCTGATCCCGACTCAGGCTCTGACTAGCCATGTGACCCTGAACAAGTGGCTCACCTTTTCTGGGTCTCAGTTTCCTTGTTTATAAAATCTATAAAGGCCTCCTCCAACTTTAAAAAGTCCTTATTTGTGTAGGGCAGGAAAGAGCTAGGAAACTTATGGGTGTGTGTGGGTAACAGGATTTGCACGTGTGTGTGCGTTCCTGCCTCTCGCCTACTGGGAACTTCATCCCCATCCCATCCCTCTGGTGCGTGGGCTCCATGCCCTCTCCTCAGGCCCAAATGGTGCTCAGGGCGAGGGCTTTGGAGTCAGACAGACTTGGGTTTGCATACTGACTCTGTGACCTTTCATAAGCTACTTACTCTGTCTCATCCTCATCTGTAAAATGAAGATATTAATTGTTAACACTGACTGAGTACCTAGTACGTGCCTACTCTGGGTAAAGGCTTTACCCATATTAATTCATTTAATCCTCAATGCCATGAAGCAAGTACCATTACTATTCTCATCCCATTTTTACAGAAAAGGAAACGGTGGCACTTGGGGGGTTAAATGACTTGCACAAGGTAACACAGCCAGCGTGGTAAACACAGAGGTGTGCTGCCCAGATCTGGCTTCAAGGAAGGACTGGTCCCCAGCTGCAGGGAGTGCAGTCAGCAGGCGGCTTCCAGCTGTCAGCTCCTTCAGCACCCGCCTCTGGTGCAGACAGCAGCTGTATCTGAGGTCGTGCCTTTCCTGGGCAGCCCGCCTCCAGTGCAAGGTGAGGGGATCACGGGGCTGCCCGCCCTTGGCCGAGGCTTTGTGATCCTGTGCTGCAGTTTGCTTCTCCCGCTGCCCAGTCCTGTTTCCTCTCCCTTCCTTTCACTGGTGTTGATCCCTAATAAACATCTTACACCCTGAACTTCTCAGGGTCTGCTTCTGGAGACCCCAACCTGCAATAACGAGTAAGTGGAACAGCTGAGATCTGAACTCAGTCTGGCTCCTGATCGTGATGCTTTCAGAGCAGAAGATAACTTCTGGAGTTGTGATTAATGAGCTAGTGGCTGGCACATGCTAAGGGCTCAATAAACGGCAGTCACTAGTAGCAGTACTGCCCCAGACTACTGCTAACCCTTCTCCAGCCTCCCCTTCCTGGGAAGGATGCCGGGAGTACAGTACAGGTTCCTCAACCCAGATGCCTGAGAGTCCCAGCCTACGAGAGGGTGGGGCTGAGGCTGGGAGAGGCATGGGGTGCGGTGGCTGGAGAGGGAATCAGAGCTCCGCCGGTCCACCCTGCCCTGAAGGAGGCGTGGAGGTGGGCGTGGCGGGGGGGGGAGGGGGGGACAATAGAGGGGCCAAGCACCGCGGCTGAGATAAAGGAGCAGGAAAGAAACACACACTTCCAGGAACAGCCAAGTGGAACCTAGCGCTTGGTATTTGGGCCCAAGGGGTCTGCCAAGGGACAGCAGACAAGGCCACGAAGAGTCCTTCGGATCCTATTTAGACCCTGCTCCCAAATCATTACAGCTTCCCTATGTCTTCACCCAGCCCCGTGATGAAATAAATCTTTCCTTTCCTATACATCTGCCCAGAAAGATGAGTTTCTTCCTTTTAAGTCTGCTTGTTTCCCCTCTTCTCAGGAGAGAAGTCCTCTCTGAAGTCTGACCTCCATCTCTTGTGCTGCAGTGGCTGCCTATTCCCAGGGATTTGGGCTTCTGTTTGGAATGAGGCAGAGGAGCCTAACTCAACACTATTAAGAAGTGATCACCATCATTATTTACAACAGGAGAGCATTCCAGCAGCTCCAGGGCTTTCGCCCCAGTAACCAGACCCTCCCCCACTCCCTGCAGCCTTCTTTCTTATCCAAAGGAATGATGAGCCCTGGGGTGGGGGGTAGGGGTGCATCCTGGTAAGAGAGAGAAAACAGGAAGGGGCCACCCCTGGCTCTGTTGGTCTCTTTATGGGTCTCTCTCAGGCTTCCACTCTCTTTATGGAACCCAACTCACCCTTGAAGACAAAGTTATAATCTTCCTCGTTTCCGTTCCCCATCTTGGCTCCGCATGGAGGGTACAAGTGTCTTCAAGGGCAGAGGTGCCGTGTCTATGCGTTAGCGCAACGCCCTCAACCCTCAGTTCTCAAGAGACCTGGATCCGCCCCTCCTCTCATTGGAGGTAAAGAAACTTCTGCAGCCAGAGGGATTGGGGGCTGACTTAAGGCTAGGCAGGGCCTAGGGAGGCTCAGCTCTGGCAGGTGGGAGTGCTGCAGGGAAGCTGAGAGGACGGAAGCTGAGAACAGGAAGAGCGGGGCGGCTGGAGACCTGGGGCCCAGGTGGGTGGAGAGACGATGACGTCAGACAGGTTAGACAGGTTGGGTGTCTGCTCTCTGCCTGGGCTCCTCCTGCAAGCAGGTGAGCAGGCTCCAGGGGCTGATAGCAGGACAGGACCTTCAGAGAGCTAGATGAGGACTGAACACGCCTGGCTAGGCACCTGAGACCTGTGGCCAGGTGGGCCCAGCCACCAGTGAGTGAGAAAGAGCCTCTCAGGGAACAGAAATCTACTTGACTTCCTGTTTCCCTTCAGAGCCCTCAGAGCTGGTATCTGGGAGAACCAGAGGAAGGGCTGTTGGGGCGAGGGCCTGGGGCTGACGGGATGCCAGTCACCCTGCTGCCGTGCAGAGCTCTGGGGGAGCTGCATCTCTGGCACAGCAACTTCTGCCCCTCCCCGACAGCCCAGGGCCTGGGACGGGCAGTATGCCTCACCCTGGGTGGAGCTGGAATTTGCAACCTACCTCTTCCCTGAGATGGGTCCCTTCCTATGGCACTGGGAAGGGACTGGTAGCTCCCCATCCAGACCTGCTCTAAGGACACTGGGTAGGGGGAGACCTGGGGCAGAAACAGCCAGATGGGGTGAGGGGTCTGAGTGTAGGGGCAGGATCTGGAGATGAAAGCCTCTGAGAGGTCTTCTGGGTTTCTTTTGCTCCCTCTCCAGAACCTGAGGCCTTACAGCAAAGCCATCCATCTCCAAAGGGCTTCAAGATCTGGAGAGGGTCTATGTGAACATAGGAATATCTGGGAGAAGATGAAAGGGGTGGTCCCTTGCAGGCAGCTAGGGGGCGCCCTCCCAACCCCAAGAGTAGAAAAAGCTCCCCCTGACAGTCAGGACTAAAGGACCCTGAATGCCCAGGGCCCTATATTCTCTATGTTCAACATGACCTCCCACCAGCCCCTTCCTCCTCTGAGCTCACTCCCAAGGTTTTGCTACCATGTGGGTAAGATTCAGCTCTGAGTGGCAGGGGCCAGGTGAGGTTACACCACCGGAGAGGCCAAGGGAGCTGAGGCACCACTGCCCCAAACCATTTGGTTGTTGGAGGTCATAGTGAAATCAGTGGGTGGAAATCCATCCTTGCAGAACATGAAGAATCCTATAAGCATCCCCTGCTCCTTCCTATCTCCTCTGATTCCTCCCACCCAAGAAAGCAGCCAAGACACAAGACAGGAGTTGAAGTTTATTCTTGGAAAAAACAAAGTCCTACCCTCCCTCCACAGTCCAGGAAGGTTTCCCCAGGGGGCCCTGCCCCTCCAAATGGTCATCTCTCTTTTCTGACTCCAGCTTCCACCAATGCCCATTACGATGCTGCTACTTGGGTGAGGGGCTCCTCCAGATACTGCACCAAGGCCTGGGCCTGCAAGAGGGAGAGCAGAAATCAGTCCCACACACAGCCTGCACTAGAGGGATCCCAAATCCAGGTCTACACCCAATGCTGAGCACCCACCCCTAGCCCACACCAGACACTGATTGGGTGACATGAGAAGGACTCCAGAAGGTGGTGGGTATGGGAATGGACACAGTAATGGAGCACAAAGGCTGAGCCCAGGGCTGTGGAGGGATGGGCACATACACACCTTGGCCTTGAGCATTCCGAAGCCAACAGTCTCCTTGGCATACATACACAGCAGAAGGTTGGCCACTCGGGTGATGGCTACGCGGCCCTCCTGGTGGGGGTGATATCATGGGATGTGACTTTCTGCTTGGCACCTTTAGCCCGCTCTTTCCCCCAAGGGCTCCTCTTGAGAGAGACTATATCTTCCTTCCATGGCCTGGGCACGGCAAGAGCTTCTGGGCTTTGGCCACAGCCCTGGACATGGGGTCCTGAGCTCCGATTCCAGCCTCAGCATAGCCACCCACTAACCAAGTTACCCTGGGAAACTTAATCTCGCAGGAACTTGGTTTCTCTTTTTCTGTAACCCCACCTCACCCCAGTTGGTGAGGGTGCTGGTAAACATGAAGGAGTCTTGCATCTGCAAAGGGCTGTCCAAATGGGTGATGTTATTATTATGGGTTCACCCCAAAGACACTGTAAGGGGCTTGGGAGCAGTAACCCAACTTGTATTTCTCCTCTTTTCCCACGGTAATGCTTTTCAAACTGCAAGTCTGACCCCAGGGTTAGGAGATCAATTAAGAAGGCTGATCAGCATGAAAAGAAGAGAAATGAGGAGCACTGCACATAGTAAGCGAAGTACTTTTTCATGAAACTTTTGATTTAGTGGGTGTATGTGTGCACTGGGCTCTGACAAAATGTAATCCTTATGGCTGGGTTGGGACCAAAACGTTTGAAAGCTATTGCCCTATAGCACCAGCCCTAGGCTAGGCACCCAGGAGTCGTCAGTTGAACTGAAATGGCATCCTTGGTTGGGCAGGGGGTGAGGAAGAGGTAGGCAGCTGAGACAGTGGAATTCTTTCCTGGAGAGTTCACTCGTGGGGCCTTTTCAATTCGGCTCAGCAAATTTTCACTAGGTATCCACTGGGTGCTGGGAGGCAGGTGCTATACTCCCTGCCTCTCTGGCCTCTGCTCCTACTAACCTCCTCCATTCTCATGCCACCTCAGCCACATCAACCTTGTTGATCTTTGACCAGGCATCATTCTGCCTCAGGGCCTTTGCACTTGGTGTTCTCTCTGTCAGAAATGTTCTTCCCCTAGATAGCCACATGGCTTGCCAACTTCTTTCAGATCTGTGATGAAATGTCACCTTTGCAGTCAGATTGTCCCTAACACATATGCCCCTCTATTTTCCTCCATAACATTTTCAATACCTAACATACTACTTTTTTAAATAACATATTTTACTTATTTTTAAAAACATGTTTACACACTTATTTTACAAAACATACATATTTTACTTATTTTAAAGTATATCTAAGACCAAGCTCCATTAGGGCTATAGTTTTTGTCTGTCCTATTTGCTATTTTTTCCCCCAGTCTTGAGAACATTGCAGGGACCTAAAAATCTGTTGACTGAACACATACAAAGGTGAGTGAGACAGTTTCTGTTTCCAAGAAGTTCACAGCCTAATGGCCACTTCCCCTTTCTGGACTTCATCTCCTTTCTCTGTAAACTGAAGGGATTGGCCAAGGGTCTGGGGACTCTGCCACGCTTCTGTGAGTCTGTGAATTTGCAATGACAACACTTTGTGTCTGCACATCATTAGACAGTTTATATCCACTCTTTCATTTATCTTCACAAGAACCCTGGGCGGCCCGGGTCGGGGTGGGAGTGTTGTTTCCACTTTAGAGATGTGCTATGGAAGCTCAGACAGGTTAAGTGACTTACCCAAGGTTCCACAAACGTTAAGTGGCTGGCTGAGACCAGAACCCCAGTCAGACCTCGGGTCCAGGGCTCCTTCCTCACCACCACTTGATGCATAGGGTCCTGCCTATTATAAATGCTGCTGCAGACCAACTCTTAGTAATCTTCCAGAGATCCTGTCCCTGCCCCTCCAACCATCCAGGATGGGGTCCAGTTCGCCCCCTCGGGTTCCCCTTCCACGACAGAGGAAGCGGCTCCCTCTCCATACCATGCAGTCCATGAGGATGAATTTGAGATTGTCTTCATTAAACGCTTGGTTCCCGTTCCGGTCATAGGCGGCCCAGATGTTACTAGCGATGGCTGCGGTGACCCGGGCGTCCGTATCCCCGTAACCGGAGTAGGCCAGCAGAGATCCCTCGTTATTCAGCAGCCTGGCAAGGGACGGCGAGAAACACCGACGTGGTCGAGACGGGAGTAAAATGCCTCGGTTTCCGTCCCAACTCCCGTCACTAGCGCTTCTAGAAAGCAAGGGTCTGGGCTGAGGGTGTCCTGGAATGTGCCCCGAGCACCCACCACGTCTGTGTCCCTTTTCGAGAGGGGCTTTCTCTGCCGTCCCCTAGCTGCTGCCTCCTCTGCCACCTCCTCCCTTCCCGGAGATCCTACCCGACCCCTCCCTTGGAGAGCCTCGCGCCGCCCCCCTCCAGTGCTCGCGCTCGGATCCTCGGTCCGCACTCACAGGGTGCTCTGGACACCTCCAGTGTTGGCTTGGCTCAGCACCTGGGTTAAAGCCTTGGGACGCAGCATGCCTGCGGCTCCTAACCTCGGACTTTTGTACCCAGATCCCTGAGTTTCCTCCTGCGGGCCTCCGCCTGCCGCTTCCCGTAGTCCAGCTGCCCTGCTCTGGAGCGTCCTGGGAGTTGTAGTTTCCTGGCCTGGCTTGCGTGGTTCTGACTCAACACCGCCCCACCGCGGGGGGCACTGGGAATTGTAGTTCCTTGTAGCCTCGCGAGGCACTCTGGGAACTATGGCTCGCCTTTCCAGCGAGACCACGCGGTTATGGGGGAAAAGAGCGGGAGTGAAAGGAAAGGGGTTGTACTGGAAGGACATTTAACTCCCTCAGGAAGGGAAAAGTCATCATGTCTGCTTGGCAATCCACGATTCAGTAATTAAAAAAAGAAAATCCTTGTATTTGTCAGGCCTACGTTTGGTTATTTTTCAAAGCAATTTTCTATGTTATGCGCAATTCTGTGAGATGAGGAGAAAAATACTGTTGAGGAAACCAACGCTCAGAAAGGCCAAGCGGGCAAAACCCAGGTTTCTGGAACCGTGCTTAATGGACCTTATTCAGGCCACGACCCTTGGGGGAATAGAGTCAGTCCTAGAGGTGAGATCTTAGGTGGACGTCCAGAAGCGGTAAAATCCAAGCTCCAAGTCGGGAGAGGCCCCAGACTTGGAAAGGATTTGGGCTTCCCGAGAAAGACCAGTTATCACAGGGAACGGTGATAAAGCGGCGACACAGAAAGTCCTTTGTCCCGGAGCGGGAGTTACCCGCGGAGGGGGCGGGGGCAGCTTTGGACAGAAGGGGACCTCAGCGCGGCTCGGGCTGGCTAGGATGTGCGGTGGTGTCTCGCGGGGAGCTCGACCCCCGCCCCCACAGTGAAGGACACGCCTCGCCCCGCCCAGAGCCCCTCCAGGGGCCACCGCCCAGCGAGGCCC